GTATTAATATATTAGAAGCCCTTTTCCTATTCTCCTTAGGGTCCCTACTGTAGCTCTATATATACAGCATTAGGCTCTTGGAAGACGAAGAGATAATCCCAAACCTTGGGAAATACGTCCAGCTCTCTATCTCTCTCTTCCTAGGAGTAGTTCTATTTCTTGTGCTCCACTGATACAAGATCTAGATAGCTGTTTGAGAATACAGTAGAAGATCTTAAGGTATATACGGGATTCCAATCAGATCGATCATACATCCAAACCGGAGACCAAAACAAGCAAGTGACCATACCACGACGACCAGGACGACGAGACGAAGAGATCATCGTCGAGATCGCCGCCAGCCGCCGCCGCACGCGCCGTCACGCGCCACCAGAAGGTTCCAGTTGCTGAAGCTTAATTGCGCGCGTGTGAGCGCATGAGACCTCCATTTTCCGATCGGTCAACGCCGTTGACTTCGCCGTGACGTCAGCTTTCTGGATTGGTCAAGTTTGTTCGATTCCGAGAAGATTTGATTTGCGATCAACTGTTCGGGCCAGCCAGATCTACATAAATTTTAAGCAGTAAGTTTTTTTCATCAAACCATTAGATCCGCTGCGCATAGGTTTATGTTGAATGTTTGTCCGTGATTTGTGCATATCGAGATCCTCATATGTCCCAACAATTGGTATCAGAGCCAGATTAATCCGTTATGTACATGATCCGGATTAAACTGCTTATATTCTCTATGTGTGCTCAAGCGCAGCCATATATATTAGATTATATGCATAACTTGGGTTTGCAGGAAGTAGTTAATCCACTATTATGGCCCCCCCTTTTATGTGCTTGTGCTTAATTGATGGTTGGTTGTATGGTTTTAAATTTGTTTTTAAAGCCTCGGGATTGTCGAGGTATTATGGATGAATACTTGTATTAATTGTCCGGGGTTGACCGGATAGTTTAATTAATTAGTAGAAGGCATGTACATCCACTCGTTGGATCTAGGAATCGATTTATGTAATTTGTAAATTATATTTTTCGAATTGTGATCGACCGTTGGAGACCGGCCCTTCACAAAGACCCAAAGAGACTCGACGGACAGAGCAAGGAAGAAACTGGAGCCGGGAGCCAAGGCTGGCCGGCACGGCCGCAGCTTCTACTGGTGGAGGTTTTGTGGAACTTGCAGTACAAGTCAACCGGGATTCTACTGCAGTGGGAGTTCCAGTTGGTTTAGGAAAGAAATCCTAATCCAAGGAGAATAAATATTTAATTGGCCATAATAGTGGATATTTATTTATGGCATTAATTATTTATTTATTTATTTATGCATGAGAATAATTGTTGCCTTATGTGCAAAGGATTATTTAGAATTGCATGAATGAATATTAAAAATCCTCATTTAAATACTAAGTTGAGAAGGATATTTAAAGTTAAGATAATTTTTAAATTCCTAAGGCCTCCATTTCT